GCAGGTCCTGGGAACTAAGTATATGAAGAACAAATGAAAGTGTCTGGAAACCAGAATCTAGCTTATCTGAATGTTTTCCATCAACCCTGCCTTGCTGACAAACCTTTGGTTTCTGGATAAAACTTGGCAACCACTGTATTCACGCTGCATGCTGGAGGTGAGCTGGACCCAGAGACTCTTAAACAAAAAGTTCATGCTGTTCATTGGGACCTTGCCACCATGCTGGTTTTAACCTCTCTGATTACGGGACCACGATGGCAACACAGATGAACCACAGCTCAGAATCAGGGAAAAGAGATGGCCGAACTGTGTGATCAGACATGGGCCTCTCAGAATGAGTGACTGACTGGTGGACGAAGTCTGGTAAACGCACGCTTGTGTTCACCCCCGTGTTCTGCTGCGGGCCTTTCCCCCCTCCGTAGCCACTGTACCTGAGTGCTACACACCCTCACAATTAATCACAGATGTCCGGGTTAATTTATTCTGCCATCAGGAAAGGGCTGGACTTGGATGTCGGTCCTAAAATCGCCCTGGGGCCTGATTCTTCTGCAGATGGATTGGACAGAACACTGAGAAGCATGAGTTTTTCAGACAATCGAACATGTGTCCACAGCTGGGTGGGAAGCTGGGTTACTTATCAAACAGATCATTTGTTACTGAGCCAAGCACTCCACAGGGCTCCGTCACAGGCAATATAGGCTGCTGCAAAGAACGGTTCACGCTCCCAGCCCATGCTGCTGACTTCCTCGTTTTTAAGGTTAGAAATAAGCTTCTGTGAAGAGGGAAACAGGACACATGCAGCAACAAGAGTCTGAGGCCAACTGAAAAGACCTTTGTTAATATCGTAATCCCCATGTTTTTGCTTTTTTTTTTTTTTTAACATATCAAGAAAGTTTTCTTTTTCCTTAGCTCTGGGTTCATGTGGGGCAGAATACCATCATTCATTTTCTTTAGTGGCAACCAGTTTAGCTGGCACAGGCCAGCCCAAGGTCTTGCCTGCAATGAAATTTAAATGTGGAGTAGACTCAGATAAAAGATAACTAAGGAAACGTGTCCCCTCTTATGACCAGGCAATTTAACCCATTGCAGGTGGACAAGGCTGGCTTGTCTTACTCCCTAGTAAGGGGAGCTGGTTAGAGATGTGGGTTCTATATTCTGAAATATCAATCACTAGCTGTTATGTTTTATACTGTACTTATACATAAATATTCTTTATTTTTTGTTATTGTTAATCCTCACCAGAGGATATTTTTTCCCATTGATTTTTAGAGTGTAAGGGATGGAGGGAGGGAGAGACACAGAGGGAGAGACAAAGAGGGAGAGACAAAGAGAGAAACATCAATGTGAGATAGACACATCTATTGGTTGCCTCCTGCATGCCTCGACTGGGGACGAACCTGCAACCCAGGTATGTGCCCTTGACTGGGAATTGAACCCGCGACCCTTTGTTTTGCGGGCTGACGCTCTAACCACTGAGCAACACTGGCCAGAGCTATTCTTTATTTTTTATCCTTGAATTATTACCTCTGAAATCATAATCTTGAGAACTGGAATACATGCAAACAACTCAAAACACAGGATCACATGAAAAAGAATGATCTTGATATATGAGTGTGAAACACTCCTTGGCCAAAATATAATTTCTTTTACACAGCAAACTGACTTATAGAAAGGAAGTTCTCACCTGGAGTCTTGAAGTTCCTCAGCTGAGAGGGAGTGTCGTAGACTTCAAGGATCCAGTCTCCGGCCGCTCGTTCTCCCCAGCAATGAATGGTCATGAACTCCCAGTTTTTAAATCCTTCCATGGAGTGGTCAAAAAGCCTGAGGGAGAACCATAAGACACTGTTTTATCTGTCACTTAAAACCCAGGGAGAGTCAAGACCGCGATCAATGATCTTTTCAAATCCATCAGCACGTTCAGCTCAACACTGGAGCCTGTCCTCATCCTGGACATCACTCATTAGTACATCCTAACGTGTATCACTCAGCGTTCCTCACAGGGACCCGGGCATGGGCTGGCCATGCAAGAGCAAATCTAGAAGGCATCACCACTGGGCAATCAGGGAAACTGGGTGAGGACTTTACCCACAACACGGGCTGTTCCACGTGATGAAGATGTGGTGCAACTGGAACTCCTCATACTGCTGATGGGAATGCAGAAAGGGACTGCTGTTCTAGAACACAGTATGTTGGTTCTTCCAACACAACTCGACAATCCCCCTCCTAGATATCTACCCAAGAGACGTGAAGACATATATGCCCATGCAAAGGACGCCACGAGAATGCTCACAGCAGCTCTATTCAACGCTGTCAAAAACTGTTAAATCAAATGCCCTTCAACAGGTGGATGGATAAATTATGGCATATTCATGCAAGGAAATACTACCCAGTAATAAAAACTAATGAACTAGTAATTCCATGAATGAATTTCAAAAGTGCTAAGGTGAGCCAAAGAAGTCAGACACAGAAGACTACATTCTAGAAAAGGTGACAAACAGAAACAGCTCAGTGGCTGTCAGGGACTGGGAGGGATGTGAAAAGGCCACCGTGGAAGCTTTAGGGGTGATGGAACTGTTTCATATCTTGAAAGTAATGGTGTATGTTATATAGATATGTTAAAACTCACCAAATTGGTCACATTAAAAAGTGAATTGTATTATACATAAGTTACACCTCAGTGAAAAGATGTCCACTAATCTTATCCAGTTCAGGGAGCCATGCCTTAGACCCCAGTCTAGACTCTGCTCTTCCCTCCACTGATATTCTAAGTTTTTAATTCTCTACATGAAATCTCCTCCCTCTTGAAATAGCAAGAATTGTTTCCTGTGATGTCATCCTGAGGGATGCAAAATATGAGGAAAATAAGGAAATAGAATCCTCCTCAAAATTAAAGAGATATCAATCGATAACGGGTAAAACTAGCACATTAAGAAATCAGCGTGTCCTTTATATAGGCATACAAAGTGCATCTGGCTGCCCAAGGACATAGCCAAAACATTCCTGTCGAGATGGGACCTAGACGGTGGAAACTAAAACAGGGGGCAAGCAGCAGATTTTTTTTAAAGAACTTTGCTTTCTTAAATTATGTGCATCTTTTATTTTTATTGAAAAAATAATAAGAAAAATAATTTGAGAGATAGAGAGGTGAACAGAGATGGAAAATCTGTCTAGCATTGTTTTAGGAGCAATGATGTCCAGTTACTGGGACATATCTGTCCTTCAGTGGAGACACATGCAAAGGTAGGGCAAGTAGATGTGGACGGCGATTTCATATTCGCCAAGCAAACTGATGGTTATAATTTGACACTCTATGTAGATCTTATTGGGATAAAATGTGCCCTTTTAAAAACAAAAAAATAACTAATTTAATCTCCTTATAACTAAATACATTAGAATTCTGATTTTTAAAATTTAAAAAAAGAAAAAATGTCTTCATTGATTTCAGAGAGAGGAAGGGCGAGGGAGAGAGAGGGATAGAAACATCAATGATGAGAGAGTCATTGACTGGCTGCGAGCCCGCACCCAGGCATGTGTCCTGACTGGGAATCGAACCCCGATCGCCTGGATCCTAGGTTGACGCTCAACCGCTGAGCCACGCCTGGCCGGGCTGACTTTTCTTTTTAAAGTATACTATCACTGTGTCTGAGGTTCCCTCTAAAATGCCAGCTGGATTCTAAAGCTGGAAGGTTGGGTGACACAGCTGTGGGCTACGTTAGGCAAACGGCTAACACTTAGCGGCATTTCCAGGAGAACAACAACAAACAGGAATATCGCCTGCTACATGTTTCTGAGCCCTTGGAAGAAGAAAAATAAAAATTATTTAGCAGCATTCTCAGAGTGTCCCACATCAGAAAGTTTGGGAAGGGTTGGGTTAAAGTTGAACAGATCTCCTTACTGGGGAACATCTCAGATCTTTGGGATATTCAAGTATTTCTGGTAATCTCCATAGTGGGGTTGATGATAGGCAGTGACTTTCAAACTGTACATAGACACGAAGCCCCTTCCCTTTTTAGGAATATCTGTATGTTATCTGTAAAGTCTAGCTTGGAACAGAGGGGCATGGTATTTCAGTGAGGACCTCGTTGGATCTGGCAGCTTTTCCCCATGATAACAGGGATAGAATTAGTGGCTCCTTATGTGAATATTTTCACACCCATACTTGGTTTTCAATAGAGTAAGGATGGTTCATTTTACGGAGATCCTACAGTTCATGTGCTACCATAACAGAGCTCATTTCACAAAGTTATGGCTTAAAACTGGACTTGGCTGGGAAGAAACTGCTGGGTCTATTAGAAATGACTTGCATACAGAGTTCTTCATGTTAAAACCATAAAGCATGTGTGCGCTGAGAGACACACAGGTGGGGGAAGAGGAGCTTTTTTACATTGTCTTTCCTGCCAGAGACATGTTACTAAAGGGAATATTGTTGACACAGAAATGGACAGAGGCGGAAAACCAGTCTAGAACCACCTCCTAGCCCACAGTTCTAATTTAGGCTCTAATTCCTGGCAGCCACTGTGCCATCTGAGGGCACTGAAGCAATAGCTTGTCACGTAATACCTTTCTAAGAGTGCCAGACTTAAAAGCAATTCCCAAAGTGTTTAGACAGAGCATCTGGCTCCTTGCCTCACATCCAGAGACGACAAAGGAGACTTGAGGCTTCTATCCCATGAGGGGCAGTCTTGTTTCCACAACCTTGGCCAGCTTTTAATTCCTTACGGGTCAATTGTCTAACTGCTGGATTAGCAGACCCTGTGTTTCTTCCCTTCCACCATTTCCTGTTCACCTTTGAAAGTCATTCCATTGCTACCAATCACTTTTAAATTACGTTGGAAACAAAAATTAAATATAAACTGGGTGCCAGGAAGAAATGTTCACAAACCAGCGTTCAGACAAGTGTTTCAAAGCTCGGATATAAACGGGCTTTGTCCATGTGGCTCACCAGCTACCCCTTGGTCTCTTCACTTTATGAGCTGGCACGATCATTCATTTCATAAAAACTGAAGAGGGGAATTAAAATGCAGCTAAACTCAATCATTACATTTTGCTGAAAGAGCTGATGGGGAGAGAAGGAGACACCCATTTCTGTTGTTTCAACTAGCTGGGCATTCAGTTTTCTAACTTCACCCTGTCTTACTTGAATGCCCATTCAACACTTAAACTCTTCCTTATTTTCATCACTGTACCATTTAAAAACACTGCATCACCTGCACATGCTAAAAGTAATGTTGCTAGTAGGCTAGATTTGTGTTGCAAAGAACATATTTGCTCAGGACAATGCGGGGTCAAGCAGTGGACATCTGCTAAGGACGTTCTAATTGTGTGGTCTTCGTACAGCAACTAAAAAAGTGCAGTTTGAATGCCTGTGCTGTACCAACAGTGGAGAAGCCAGACATATATGGATGAGATGTCAATAAAGCAGGGCCACTGTACTGCAAGCTGGAGTACATTCACTCCATGCCCGTCTCCACGTCTCCTGTTGCAGGGAAACCCTGTCCTGTCAGAGCTGACTTCACAACCACATGCTCAACGAAATGATGTGTGCACGCGGTGGCAGAAATTACGCATCTGGTTATTAAATGGTGCCCCACAGCCCTACCCCTGTGAGCGGTTTTCAAATAAATTACTTTGGATGAAGCCTGGTAGTACATCCTTTTGAGAAATTAACTCAGGAAATAACTCATATAATTACTGTAAGCTTTCCCCCCCCTTTCTCACTTAAAGAGTCCAGCCAATCTATCAAGGCTACAACATTCTTCTACGATGTTATGGCAACTATTTAACAAGACATTGTATAAATACTGACAGCTATGTGTTACAGAATTACTTCTAAAATTGTAAATGGATCTTAATTTCAGAACCATCCACTACTGAGCAAATAGTATTTATGTTCACTATAGAATTAGACATTAGACCAATATTTTTGGAAGTTTTCTCTATTTTTAATTTTTTAAAGTGCTTCATCACAATTTAAGGTAGAGTTTATTAAATGCGTAAGCACTCATTTGGCTCAATTATATTTTAGTTTTTGCTTTTCTTTAGATTTTGGCTTTTGTACGTTTTAAATAATTTGCTTCTGAAATAGGGTATTGAAAACATATTAGGTTTTTCTCTCCTAATCTAAATCACTTTTCTTAAAATATGTCTTTATTGATAGAAAGGTTGAGCAAAAGGTAGTGGTTCTAGAGGTTTTGATTACCTAAAAAGATGCATATCTTTCAACATGCATGCTATTACTAACTTACTCAAGCCCCAAATGCACTCCTTCTTGTGGGTATATGAGGTAAGTACTTCATCTTCTTGAAGAGTTATTCTATTTTATAGTCAACAGCTTTTATCTAAGTATCTGCTTTATATTTTAAACTGCTCTGTAAATTACTTGCACAGCAGCCAGCACACACTGCCCTCACATCTTCTGATGACACGAAAATAACAAGAATGTGTATGAAAAAGCTGGATGATCTTTTAAATTGATGCTATTTGAAGTGTGGTGTGTGGACAAGCAGCTTCAGCATCACCCGGGAGCTTATTAGAAATGCAAATTCATGGACCTCACCCCAGACCTACAGATTAGAGCCTCTGGGAGAGGGGCCCAGCCATCTGTGTTTGACTGAGTCACCAGGTGCTTGGAGAAGCTCAGCATAAACAGAGGTTAGCACTTATTAAGCACTTACGGTGCCAGGGGCTGAGGACTTGCTCTACGTTATCTTAATACTTGTAACAACCCTGTGAGGAAGATACTGTTAAGTCTGTCTTCTAGATAGATGAGAGAATCACTTTTCCAAAGTCAAACATAAACATCGGTAACATCAGTGAAATCAAGACCACCCCAGCTCTGTCTAACTCCAAGGCCATATCTTCTTTTGAGTGAAGGTAAGAGGGTTCTCATGGGGAGGCCTCCTTGGGATGAAAAACTTCCACTGCAAAAGTGTGTCTCGGACTGCAAGTCGCAAATGCATGTACATAGCATGACGCTTTACAAATGCCAATAGTCTATTGTTGAACGTGGGTAGGGCAGGGACAGTGATTCGAATATAAACACTACCTTTAACCATAGTTCATTATAGACGCTATAGGTTTCGCAGCTTAGAAAGTGTACTCCTCTGTACTTAAGATCGTAATTAGAAGCAGAGATGTTCAGCTGCAATCAAACTTAGAAAAGGAGGCAAAGTTTCAGCTTTCAGTCAGGGGCCAACATTTGGACGGGAGAGCCAATCCAGCGAAACTAAATCTAAAACTCAATGCGTTGGGGGAGGGGGAGGTTTAGGGGGAAGAAGATGATGAGAGCTTTTCGCAATTCTACAACAAATGCAGTTGAAGAATCCCAGGAGAAAAGCTTTTGTTTGAAAATTTTTACCCGGGCAGGTTTTGAAGATGTCATAGGACAAAAGCTTCTATCTAAAGCTCTCTTGTCTAAAAACATTTTAAAGGGACCCGAGCCCACCTAGCTTCCCCACGATGCTGGATCTCCACATTCTCCCCTGAGGCAAACAGGCTGTGCCGATCATGCAGCTTGGGTTTTTGTCAGGCCAGGAGGAGGGCCGAAAGGGTGGGAGGGCAGGGAAAACAGGGGGAGAAGGCACGAACCATTTGTGCATTAGGGGATGCTGTTTACTCGGGGCTCCCACCCACCCACTAAATTACCAGCCTGGCTTGCCAGAGGTGCTGCCCGCTGGGCGAATGGGGGGCCAGCTCTGGTTGGACTGGCTGTGAGTGCTGCCGAGCGCCTTCCAGGGCAGAGCCCTGCAGATGCCCGAGGAAACGGTCCTTCCCCAGCCGCTCTCCTCCACGGGAGTCCCAGCAAGTGCGCGCAGCCTGCGCTGGGCGGCCCACGCGGGCAGTGTTCAGCGACTTCGTGGGCAATCAATTCCCAGGGAGCTGCTGCGCTGAGGGGAAACACAGCACTGTACTAAAATTCCTCCCAGAAGTGTCTAGGAAAAGAGGACTGGATTTCCTTCACTTCCTTTGGGAATTCCCCCTTCTCAGTCATATTTTCAGGACCCAAGACTCTGACACCTATTTTGTCAATCCTGAGAAGGAGAGCAGTGGAAGGTAGTAAGGGAGAGGCAGGTCCCCCCTCCCTGGCTTGCCCCCCTTGTCCATGTGTCTAGTTTTGCTTCCTAAAGGGCGCTGTGGGCTGGCTTCCAGCATCCTTCCTCCTCGCAGCAGCCAGCACACAGTCCACTGTGAGGAGCTGCACCTCACGCAGGAACTGGAGAGACCAGAGGGGGACAACTCTGACATCACAGCTCTACCTCTTCATCTCAGTGACCCCCCCACTAGGGTACCTTTATGTTTTAGATCTTTCAGAATGCCTGCCTCTTAACTGCACAGTGTCTCTTGATTTTCAGAAATCTTGACTTCACGAAAGGAAAGAAAAGTGTCCAACAAGGGAACTATTTATTGCTCTCGTTAATAATCTCTGATGCACGGATTCCTGCTAAATCCTGACCTATTCACTTTTTCCTTCAGGTGAAGTGATCTGCCTTGCAGACCAACATGAAGGAGACTGGAGCAAAGGAGACCTTCCCCTACCCCCATCGTTTCTATGCTTCTCGGCCTCAGCTCCCAATCCCATCCTGGGAATGTGTTTTGAAGGTGACAGGACACAAGGATTCCTTGCCACTCAGTCTGAGACTGAGAGATTTTGAGTAGAGATTTCCTCTCATAAAATGAAAGCTTCAGAAGATGCCAGGAGGAGGAAATGCCAAAAGAAACCGTCTTTCCCGAGCTGCCTCAGCAGGAGGGATGCTACTAGTGTCAAGCACAGCAGGGGCAGGGGAGCCAGGCCCTGGCACGTGGCCATATGTGGCTTTGGAACCTGGAAGCAGCTGTTTTACATTTAAGGAGTCAGCTGCTCAGAGCAATGTTTTGGGGGAGCTGTAGACAAATGAATTCATAACATCCTTTACATCTCTTGGTGCTCCCAGCCCCCTTCCTCCACTCCAATCTGTCTGCCTCTCGTTGGTGGCTACTTATTTTCCTGAGATGGAAGATACACAAAAGAGCAGCAGTTTAGGAAATGCTCCGGACCCAGAAGATGCACTCTGGGAGGAAACCTCATTCCCAGGAGCCCCTGATGGGGAAACTGAGGTAAACCTCATGACCGCCAGTCACTGAGTGTCTGAAATGCCTGTTTCTTTTTCTCTGACACGAGTCAGGCAGAGATCTTGGGTTCAGCACTTTGCAAAGAGCAAAGCAGATGTCCGCCGTCCAAGAATGCGTGTGCAACTGACGCCAGTGACCTCGGCATCCACCAATCGCCTGTGACGAGCGGATCCATAGCTCCTCTGCTCACAAGTTTCCTCACTGAAGTCATTTTGGGGAAAGCCAACAAAAAAATACCAAAATATGCAGAAAGAGCTCAGAAAGGCTGAGGTGGCTGAGTTTTCCAAGCAGCAACTGTGAAGGCTGTTTTTCCACAAGGGAGGGAGCTTGAGGCCTAAGAGCCACACGTGTGTGAAGCAAACCTTTGCACTTCACAGTGTTTCACCTGGATACTCTCTTTCAAGTTTGGCACAGATGAATAGTAAGAAAGAAGAGAAACAACAGAGGAAAAAGGTCTTCTCCGGCTGCGGTAACAACAGCTAGTGTGACCCCCATTAATCACGTAACTGTGCATCTGGAGGCCTTGCTTGCGGAATAGAAGCATCAGGCAGGTACTCGCAATGACCTGGCAGGCGACAGCGGAGAGCCCTGTCTGCAGAGGGAGGAGGGCATGCCCAGCACCCTTCTGTTCTCTGCACCTGCACACACTTCTGGCTACGCTGCGCTTCATAAAGCACTAACCCCAGGCTTCCCCATGCCAAATGGAAGGTGCTAGGTTTTAAAGAACATGGCAAGTCTTCCAAGCATGGAAGTAAAATGCACTAAGAGGTTTTGGAATCTGTACTCCTGGCCACCTAGAAGTGCTGTTTACTGCTCTCTCCTTTCCTCACTGTCCGATAGCAGATGAATTTGGAGATTCTGAAAAGCAACTGGCAACTGCTCAGTCTCACTTTCGGTTCTGCAGGCTTCTACTAGCTCCTGGCCTCTCAACTCCTCTGGCCTGTTGTCAGTGTCCTAACAAAGATCACCGCTACCAAGGTCACCGGGCATGTGGACAGGTGTCTGTGTCTACATAAAAGGTTGGCTCTTATTTGGACTCTATGTGCCATTGATGATGCAGTTTTTGTTCCATTAAATGTTCCACTTGGAGAAAAATATTAAAGAATCTTTTAGGCTTCTTTCTGGTTGTGGTTTGTATTTTAGAACAAATACTGGGAATGAGGTGTATAGGACAACCTGCCATTTTCCCATCTGGTCCATTTGTTGACAAGCACCCCCTGCCCATGCCCCCACTCAAAAAGCCAGGGGAGCAAAAGAAAACTTGTGCTAGAACATTCTGGCCTTTTATCAGGATCCTGGCAATACAATTACCTGCTGAGAAATGTTTGGAGGAACTGGGGGGAAGGGAAGAGGCCAAGAGAAACTGAGTGCCCTCTTGGGCAATAAAGACTAAAGGGCCAACCTTTAAAATCAGGGTCAGCAAACTACACAGCGTCCTCAAGCCAAATCCGGCCCTCTGCCTATTCTGTAAATAAAGTTTTACTGGAACATAACCATGCCCATTCATTTACATTGTCTACAGTGGCTTTTGCACTGTAATGGCAAAGTTGAGTAGTTGTAACAGAAACATGGCCTGCAAAGCTGAAAACATTTACTAATTGACTGTTTGCAGAAAAAAAATTTGCCAAGCCCCGTTTTAAAACAAACAGAATTTCCTTGAACTTCAGAAAGTGGTTGGGCAAGAGAATTCAGTTAATACACGCCAAATACTAGCAGACATTTAAGGACAGGGGGAAGAATCTCAGAGGCCTAAGGAGTTAGTGCTCTACATTTCTTTTTAGGATGAAGAACAACAGGTGGCTTTCTGTTTTTCTGCAGCATCCTCTTACTATTTCCCAACTATTCTATGTTATACTGTTCTTTGCAGCCTCACACTCTCTGCTTATGTATGGGCAGTGAGAGCTGTGACCATCCATCATGACATCTGTGTCTCCCTTACTTCTTAGGGTAGTAAGGAGCAGCGGGACCCTCCCTCCCTAAAGAAATAGCTGAGTGTCAGTATGATCCCCACTCGCAGGCGGGCAAGGGCCATCACTGTACCTGTTGGCCAAAAGCTGGGATCTGGTTCCTGAGGGCGAGGTCAGGTAGATGGCCAGGTCACCCCTCCTGGGATGAGTGATGGTTATGCGCACAACGACATGCTCTAGGTAGTTGACATGGTGGTTGGGGTTATCGGAGCAGCCCGACGCTTTGTAGATGGAGCGCACTGCGCTGTTGGGGCGAATTGTCCTGCAACAGAGAGAGGCAGTTTGAGTGTAGTAGGTACATGGCAGAGCTTGGCTGACAGAGCCTGCAGGCCTAGAATGACATCAAGCAGCTAGCTGCTGGATACTAAAGGACACAGTACTATCATCAAATGATTGGGTCATTTAAAGGATTAACACTGGAGAGGCAGTGGGAAAGATGCGCGTGAGAGGAAAGGGGGAAGGAAGGGTCTTCTATCTTCACATAGGGAGTGCATGTTCAACTTGAGAACCTCACCTTGTTAAAACACAGATTGCTGGGCCCTGTTCCCAGAGTGTCTGATTTAGTAAGGCTGGGGTGGATCCTAAGAATTAGCATTTCTAACAAGTTCCCAGGTGACAGTGATGTTGCTGATCTATGGAATACACTTTGAGAGCCACTGATATAGGGTACCGTGGTACAGTGAAATTTGACCTTGGGATTTGACCCTGGTCTACCATTTCCTTGCTCTGTAACCCATGGGCACACACTTCCTCTTGCGCACAGGTTCCTGTCTTCTTCACTAACTTCCTCCTGTGCCATTTTCCCCCTTGAACACTGGGCTCCAGCCACGCTGGCATCAGTTCAAGTTCTGGGATAGTTTTCCACTTGAGAGCTTTTGCATACACTACTCTGCCTCAGGTGCTTTTTTTTTTTTTATGCTGCTCATATGGCTGACTCTTCATGGTCAAAGCTTAAATTTCACTCTCTGAGACTGGCACTGAACCGCAGGAAAAATATACCCCCACCTCTTATTTCCTACCCTTTGTATTTCCAACATTCACTTATTGTAACTTGTAATTTAGTTTTTTTTTGGTTTGACTCCCACTAGACTGTGAACTCCAAAGGGCAGGAAGCATCTCTCATTCCCCTTTCTATCCTTAATATCTAGCTCCGTACTTGATATTCAGTAAGCGCAAGAAAAATAGTTGCCAAACTGGTAAATAAGGTTGTGAATGAATAAACAATTATTCCCACTGATCTAATTTCTTCATTTGTCAAATGGGAGTAATATCCAAATGTTTACAAACTTTTAATAAGAAAATACACATGAAATTTCTACCACTTGGCTTGGCCCTTAAGAAGTGTTCCATAAATACCGGTTAACTTTTCACTCCTTTATCTTTTTCTCTTGTGCTCTGCTACAAAAGAATAGGAAAAACCCCCACAAAAACCTTTAGTTCATTTATTTCTGCTCCCTAACAAATTTTCTCAAGAATTATAATGGCTCTAGTTTCATCACAACCAAAGTTCATAAATATTTTTCCTGAGCCAACTCTCTAGAAAGAAGGCCAAAAGCAAAATACTAATATAATCACGAAGGTGAATCCTATGTTTGGGATTCAGCACCTAGGAGAGACTTCACACTATTCCTAGGTCAACCCTGTCAGCACAGCCTCCAAGTCTGTGCAGCTGAAACACAGGAATGGGCCCTGGAACCTCTAAATAAATTGTAGTCTCGTTTACTGTGCATTTTGCACCACTCTGGAGAACTACATGTCATGTAGTTAAGTTTCCAGAACACACGGTTTAGTTTCTTGGAGTACACTGACTTACGGAGAATACTCATACCATCAAATAGATATACTGACAGAGCAGAAATCTTATGAACGCCCATCAAGGCCCCTCTCTTTAAGGATCCTTGAGTTCTATTAGTGTGGACATAACAGCTTAGCATCCTAGACATTCTACTAGAATTTCATAATTAAATTAGGAAAAAACTACACAAGGTTTTAGCTTCCATGGGTAACATAGGGCTATCCTGAGCACCTGCACTGGCCTGCCCTCTTTCAAGGCATCAACATGGTATCTATTTGCAGCAAACTTTACTTGATTTGTCGGTCTGTGCTCTCCACACACACGTGCTGCTGGGGAACAGTGGTCCACTTCTCCGCCTCCATCACCATGGCTTCTGCATCCATCAGTCCAAATCCATAGAGATGGCTCACTGCAAAAAGCAAGAGGCTGGTCAGCTTTGCTGTGGTTACAAGCAGCCTGTGCTATATATGTTGAGCTATAATTTCATTTAGCAGAGACCACAGACACATCTCTAAGGGATCCTAGCTTTCTTTATAGCAATGATTTAAGAACAAATAAAAGAAGTAAACCATCACAACAATAAGATGAGTGTATATCACATTGGTGATCATTACCAGTAGTAACACGACTATCATTCATGAATTTTTACTAGTGGCAGTTGCTGGTGCATATTTTTACATTTAATCCTCCCAACAATCTTAAGATGTTAATGCTGGTATCATCATTCATGAATGAGAAAACTGAGGATCAGAGAGAGAATTGGCTGGGACTGCCCTGCAACTCAGTGAATGGGCTGGATTCTAACCCACATGGTTTGCTCAAAGGCCTCACTGTTAACCACTGGTATTCAAGTGATGACATCACTTGTAAGATAAAATAACAGGTTTAAAGAGAAGTGACGATGTATACAGCTTCTTCTAGAGCAATAAGAACTTACGTGCAAGAAATACCAATTTTCTGACATGCCTAGTATTTACATTGAATATCCCAGAAGACATAATTATCTTTCCATTAACATATGAAAAATGTATTAAATTTTATGCATGAAATATCTGGAGGCCTCTAGGCTTTTATGCCAGTTTATCCTCACATGTAATCTTAGTTCTCAATGAGAATACTTATTGATCTAAAGCTGAATTTGACGTAACTGTCTCAGAAACTTCAATTGCATACAGGAATATTTTAATGATGATACAGCAAGATCAACAGGTGCAGTTCTTTCTGAAAACACTTTAAAATCCCAGTTGAAAATGTAAAATATTCACCTTGTATTAAACTGTCACATATCTTTATATTTAACAAAGTCATACTTCTACCAGATTTGTTGCCTAAAGCATTTTCCTTAGAACATTACTTTAGTCAAAAATTTTATAGCTGCCCAGGCTTATGGGGTTATTTAAAAACTACAGTTTGAAATTCAAGATATTCTAAGATACAGTCCCATTCAACTTTCAAAACAAATTCCTCACCAAGCCTTGTGCTTTAGGAAAGCCATTTCTTTTCTGAAGATATGACACTCCCAGTCATATTGCGCTCTTTCTGTCTCATGGCCTTTGCTCCTGCTGGGCCTTGGCCTGGAATTCCTTCGCTACTCCTAGGTGAAGCGGGAAACTCTACTCTTACAAGTCCCTGAAGGCCCAGCTAGTCTACTCTTTCTTGAAATAATTCTCTGGCCCGTAAAAATCAATAGATAGTTACTGAAATTCAATCATCTGTGATGGGTGAATTTTTCTCCTTTATAGTCCTATACCTCTAATTAATTTGTCACTCCATTTGTCCTTCTGTCCATCCATCCACTCAGCCGTCCATCCAACCATACATCCATCTACTCACTCATCCATCCATCTATCCACCCATTCACCACCCACCAATCCATCATTTCTTTAGTGCCTTCTACATGCCAGGCACTGTATTATGCACTGCACTTTTTATATGTGCCATCAATTAAATTAATAATCAACTATGTTGGCAAATGTATTTTTACCCTAACTGTATTATAAACTGCTTGATGGCAGGAACTGGGTCTTATATTTCTTTATGTTTCTTGGGAGTTAGCAGAACATTATACATAGTGGAGGAAAAAGATATTATAGCATATAAAAAAAGAAAATTGTTCTAGGATTAAGAAATATTGCTCTATTTTTGCCATTTGTTAATTACATAATTCTTGGCCAACAAGATAAGATATCTAACCCACCATTTCCTCGTTTTGGGATCTTATTATCTATTCCTTTACCATTACTAAGTTAAGTATATGTCCCACATGAGCAAATCTGTGTGAAGAACTATACAAATGGGAGAGCTCATTATTATAATATCAGGTTCAGCCAGTCAGAACATACTGAATAAAACTGAATAAAATTACTTTGCAAAGGCAAAGATATATGTAGGATTTTTATACATGTACTTTTGTAACTTTTATTATAAATTACTTTTTTTCTTGATTAAAAAGTGATTCATGTTCGCTGTAACAACTTGTAAAGACATCCAGAAAAGAAGAAAGTAAAGCTCAGCAATAACCCTATCACAAATTGGTAACTGCCATTAACAATTCTGTTAGTTTTGTTTTAGTTACATAACATTATGTGAAGCAATTTTGTCCCCTTAGTTAAATAAGAGACAGAGTGGCCCACATGGTACAGGAGAAATGTCCAGCCTGGGCTTAAGGAAACCCAACTGTGGAGATCTTCTGTTCAAGTTCACGTAAATCTAAATCCTATGTTCTCACTTATGACTTAACTGTGGCCTATGCATTTCATCATGAGCAGCCTACGGTATTTTCTTTCCCTGGGGGAACGGAAATTGTTGCCAAAGATGCTATGCCAGGCTCTCTAACTCCACACAGTACCCAAACACCCCCATGCGGGTGCTAAGCGGTTTCCAGCCGGCGCAACTTGTCATCTTCTCTCAGGCCAGGGGAAGGGGATGACGGGCTTGACGGGTGTGCGAGCGCGAGGGGAAGGCAGGCGGAGGCTCGGGGAGGGAGGGCTCTGAGCCGGCTGCGGAGCTGGGCTGCCGGCTCCCCGCCCCAGGGACTGTCCACCGAACAGCCACGAGGACACAGATTAACACAGAGAGTCACCAAATACAACAAACACTTCATGCCTGTTAACCACTTAACTTAAGCAGAAAAGCACCTTGAGTCTTTATGAAGGCCATAATTTGTTTCCTTTTCCAATTCAACTCCCATCCTCCAGAGACGTCCTTCCATGGGACACTCCAAGCAGATGTTCAGGAAAGGGGCTCACTAGCTCAACTCAACTACAGGCTGGCAGGTCAACAGGAAACAATGCATTTTACTAGAATATTCATAAATTAGATAATTATATTACATCACCGAAGGCCACTGAGTCAGTAATGGGGGTTTTTAGTATTTTAGAATACTGAAAATTATGTACCTGTCCACAATCATAGCACACAACCTAAGAAAAAATGAAATAAACCTTTCCTGTTTTTTGGGGTGGTGGTGGTACTGGCAATATATCAACTCCCTGTATTCTGATTGACACTTATTTGGTTTTTGGTAAATACTAAATGACAAAACAACTACACAATGAATGTACTGGGCAGGTAACTTCTTCAAAAACATGGTGTCAGCAGGGGAAATAGAAATTAAGTAGTTTGGAGGCACTAATAATTTTTGAAATATAATTACAATTGACAAAATTTTAAAATATAATATAAAGTTTTCACACTCTAAAATAACCTATAAATTCAGAACGGTGACCATTTGAGTGGTCTGTCTTGCCCATCTCACCGTTACCAGGATGGGCACGAGGAGTGTGATTGCCCTCCAGTGGCCACAGAGCACCTGGCTTACAGGAGAGCTTCTGTAAATACTGGTGAATTGAACGCAACTGATAGGAGAAATTATATTTAATTCACCAAGGGGCATAAAGTGTTTACAAGAGAACCGTAAGGGGAAATGGAGGTCTATGCTTTTTACTACTGACTCCTATAGAGTTATCAAACACTGAAAAAATTTATTCAACTATAGAGCCAATATTCACATTTAAAAAATTTATGATTATGGCAAATACACCATGCAAACAACTGACTGTGATATGGCCGTCCCACAACTAAAGTAGTTTTACTTATGCACATTTCTCATGCCAAGCTCAGAGCAAAACCTGAACCTGAAAATCTCTTTATGCTGATCAAAGTGGAACCCTCTCCACCCAAGCACTGAGTAAAATACAAAATTCTATGACATTAGAGTGTTGTAGTGTTGGTGTGAGCAGGCATCTCACTAGTTCAACAGAATTTTTCATTCCTATGTGTGCTGGCAGTAAACACACAAGTTGTAATTTTAACATCAGTTAAGATTCAAAAATCAATATTCATAAAGATGTTGAGGGAGCAGGCATGTATACATCAATCTTGAAACAACATTATTGAAGCATATTTCAGAAAGCAAATTTATTTCTTTGTAGAATGATGTTGGACAAGCTTAATAAAGAGAATCGGAAAAACATGCATAACATTGTATTTATTCTATTAGGCTGCACGACTGTTTATGCAGATAAGCTAAAAAAAAAAAAAAAGTGGAAGTGTCTTATGCCGGAAGTATAGCTAGTTTTTATTCAAAGGTACCTCAAGGCATCTGTTTAGACCAGTCAGATGGACAAGAAAAGGCAGGAAAATTGAGAATATTCTCCAGCAGGTATATTTTCATTTTCTGATGAGATCACAAGTGCTGAGAAAAGCTAATCATTAAGTGAGCAAGCAAATTATTGCATAGTTTGAAAGCAGATACAGTTAATTTAAATACCAGTTCTAGCTAGGAGCTCTAAAAACTCAATTCTAACAGAAATCTAGAAAGCTCAGCAGAAAAAAAAATTAGAAGTTTCTGAGCACAGGAATCTATCACGAAGAAAATTGGGTGTATTTTCATCTCTTTTAGTGGACTATCCTTCCTGGAGCCAGCTACTTTAAATCATTTTTTTCTTTTTAAATATTATACTGAATGGACATTTCATGATGACTCTAAAATGACTATTAGTAAAACATTCTATATAGCAAAGGAATTGGTTAAAAAGGGATTTTTTAAAAAGTTTTTGAGCTTCCCGAAGCAAGCCTTTCTGCCACCAGCTGTGAGATGTATGAACAACGTTATGCAGCATCCAGTGTGAAACAGGGCAAGTGACACAAAAACTCTGTATGAGGAGCCTATGGGAAATATCTAACTGTGCCTGTAACTGACAAAAAATGCAACTAAATGAAAGCTATTCATTACTGCCAATTTCTTCCACTGAGGAAATCATTTCTTACGACTAGCATGCCTAAATACCTGGGTTTGTCTATAGTTGTCCTGGTTTTAGTAATGAAAGTCCTGTGTCCCAGGAAACCCCTCATTCGTGGGCAAGCCAGGAGCGTGGCCACCCTACGTGGAACTGAGAGAATAACGCG